TTACCGTTTTCCTTTAAAGTCTTTTGCCATTTTTCTCACTTTGTCTGTTAGCCGCTGTTTTGTTTTGCGTTCCTCTTCCTCGTTTTCCCTCCCAGTAATCAACTCGAGTTCCAAAGACTTTTCATTCTCCTTCACCCTCTGCCAGACAACTTCCCTCTTTACTGCATCACTTTCGATCATATCTCTTGTAATACTGAAGAGAAAGCTCGCTTGCTCATCCGAGAACTTTCTCCAGAACCTGGAAGATTCAGTGGAAACAGATGCTGTCGAATTCACTTCGGATGGAGGTGCAGGTGGCGCTGCTGAGCTGAGAAATCTGGCCACTTTCTCATGACTTGCCTCTTCTTGATTAGGGGGTTCAACTGATTCCATGTGATCTTTTCTCAGCCTCCTGAGCTTTAAGACTACCGCCTTAATGGAACGATCCTTGAGAAGGTCTTCTGATAACAACTTTTCTGTCACTTTAGGTTCTTCAATTGCTCCAGTCTCAATGTCTTCACTAAATAAACGCTTTAGCTGCTCCGTCTCTTCCACCGACCATGGTTTTCCTGTGATTTCTTCCTTTCCGTCCAAATGAGCCTCATGAATGTTGTGAGTTTTAAGAGAAACAAGTTTGTGAACAGCTCTGTGACCTAAATCCGTTTCTCTAACTTTGTCATGCACACGGTAATACCTGGCTTGAGTTTGCGTCTTATGCTGAGCCAAGGCAGCGAGATGATCTTTCTCATGTGGCATATGTACATGCATGCCGGTTGCAAGCGACTTTCTTATTGTTGTAGCACATATTCGCCCCTCCTTAAAGATGCCCTCTCTCTGAAAAGCCCTCCATATGGAAGTTGATACTTGTGAAGACGTCAGTGACATCCCATAACTTGAAATAAAAACTGCTCAACCTCCGTGGCAGCTGTCGCAGCGAATTGGCTTCGTACAGTTCTAAGGTACATGTCCATCAGGTTGTAGAGGTCATCGTACACCCAAACAACTGCAGCGCCGTAGACACCGGCGGTTTTGTGATCACTACAAGGATTCTGTAACGAGCAAGGTCTTCGTCTGTGCCCGGGTAAAACACCGCAGCCTTAAACTCGCTGACTTTCATGCCTGAAGCAACACCGCTTCTTCCACTATTATCGATCAGTAGACGAGTTATAAGCCAGTCTCGCACCTCACAGTGGGTCTTGTCGTTGACAATTCTTCGAATATCAGTGCCTTTATTCGTTTCTTGTGAAGAAGTGGCCAGCTTTTTAATGGCATTTATCGTTGTTCACCATGGCAGACCTTGTAAAACTGTTCACTTGAAATGAGCTTGTTGAAATCCTCGTCGTATTTTGGAGTTTCCTCTTTAAAACCTTTTTCTTTTGGGCGCTGACCATGAAGTCATGAGATCCCGGCGTGCATTTAAGGTATCCACACTCACATCAGACATCTCAGATTTTCTTTCTTGCGTTAAGAATTTATAGAACAGACGCAAACTCATGAGATAAGATCTCACAGTTCCCGGCTGATACTTTTCCACAGCATATGACAGCCACTTTTTCAAGAGATTTACCCCTTCTTTTTCCGGACGCACTAGCAGGTACACTGAAGGTTTTGAGTTTTGGGCTTCTTTGGCTGCCGTTTCCTCCTGTTTTAGACGGCGAACGACACTCCGTACCTGGGATTTGTACTGCTGCGCCATTTTTTCTGATCTGTACCCTCCATCCACGTCAATTAACCATTCATAAAACTCCGTCAGCAGTTGTCCAGTAAGCTCATCATTGACATCGTTGTTCTCTGTCTTTACGTCTGCTCCTTCCTCAATGTCACAATCGCTTGGTTTCCAATCTGTGTCGAGCGCATCATCATTATCGCTTTGATCTCCTCCAATCACACAACACAGTTCCTCCTGTACGTATTTATCGTACTCTTCCGCCGATCGTACCAGTTCCTGCGTTGACTCGACAGGTGTTTTAAAAACGTGACCATGCGATAACTTGTTTTCTTTAAACTCCGTCACTTCTTGGAGCCAATCTAATTCTTTATCCAAAAGTGATCCTTCGTCAACATTACTTTCCCCGACAATCTCGACAAATTCGGTCAATAGTTCCTCGCATTCAACAGGAAGAGAAGAGGAGTCGAGGGATATGTCCGATTGACTGGAGTCACTTGAATTAATCTCTTCTTCGCATTCGTAGTCAGGATCCGAGCCAGACTCGTCGCTGTCGGAAATTTCAAAACATTCTGTCTGATTACAACTGACTACGTTCTCCCCGTTAGCACCGTCAAGTCCTCCGTCGCTGATCTCTTTTGAACCTAGATTCTTTCTTTCCTCGTCGCTCCTTTCACTCTTCTTTTCTTCATGACTATTATTCCATAATCTTCTTGTGAGATTATCGTATTCTTCATCACTGTCTGTAATGGTTTTCATCGCATTATCTTCTCTTCTGTCTTCCCCTCGATGCTTCCTCTTGTTGGATGTTTTCTTCATCTTGTTTAGTGCTCCTCTTGCAAGTGTTTCATAATCTTCTTTAGTTACCCTGGCACTGTCTATATTTGGGCTGCACGGAATAATATCCTCGACTGTTTCATTGTCTTCAGGGTATGCACCATCGCCCTCGTTAACTTCGCTTGCACTGTTGCTTGCCTCTGAAATGGTTTCTTGCAGTTTTCTGCTTCCACAGTTGCTTGTCTCTGAAATGGTTTCTTGCGATCTTCTGCGTTTGGGCTTGTGTCTCCTTTTACTCTCTGCTGCTCTATCCTGTCGATGCTTAATCTTCCAGGCTGCTTTCTTTAATTTTTCATCAGCCTTTGTGGCTAGTTCCTCATAATCTTCATCCTCGAATTCGTCACTTTTCCCTGGGCTGCATCGTTTAGACCCCACCTCCTCGTGTGTGTTGTTATCTTCATCTTGCCAATTAGCCTCCTCGTGACTTTCGCTGTACTGTTTCTCCTGCCTACCGTTTTTCCTACGTTCTAAGTGGGATTCTACTTTTTTGAACGAAGCTCGTGGAGCGTGCGATAGCGCATTTAAATAAGCAGGTGTTCCTGGTTTTAGTTTGTGTATACCAGTCTGCAAATGTTTGTGGAGTTGAAATATCGGTTTCTTCTCCCTCTTGCACGGGGATAGAGGACAAAATTTTATCCTTCGATTGGGTGGCTTTCTTTCTCGAGTTACATAAACACCCAGTTTTCTTTTCATCTTTGACATTTTATGCACATCGCTTTGATGGCGGCTTAAGTTCTGAACTATGCTTCCACATTTCTTACACTTCTTGGATTTCCTTTTCGTGCGACTGGACGAACTGGCAGGTACGCCGGACACTGAAGCGCTTTCATCATCAGCAGCAGTAGACAGGTCTGCTTGACTTTCCATTTCCTTCTACTTCGTCTCAACTCTAAGAAAAAAAAAGACAACAACAACAACAAATTTATTACCACCTTGTAGTCCTCTGCAGCGTGTCCCTAATTGCAAGCAATTTGTCGCAAAGACGAAATTGAAATACACAAAATAGTGAGCAGCCCCTTGCGAATTGTAGCTGCAAATACTGTTTTACAGGAGAAAACTAGATGAAAGTGATCAGGAAGTTAAAAGCTTTTGTATACCTTAGGAATCTTACGGACTTACTTCTAAAAACCCAGCTTAACGTTTTGGTTGTAAGTCAGATGACCACTTTAGTTTTCATAAATAAAGTACCATGCGTTTCAATTAAGTCTCAGCGGTTTTGCGTTTGACTTTAGGGTTGCGAATTACAGTCAGTTTTTAGCTTAGAATCACAGTGGTTTTAAGACAACGACACTTTTATACCACCTGCGAACAACAAGCTCGCTAGCATGTTCTTGTGGTCTTACGCTGAGGAGAATGCGCACTTGTTAAGTTTAGATACTCATGATACTAACTTGTACTTAACTTCTTTTCGAACTGTCTATTGTTTTCTGTTTGTTCTTTTATAACATAAGTTGAATACCCGATCGTGAGACATACTTATCATTGCACGCATCACTTCTGCAAAGGCGTCAGCGAGATTAATAAAATTTGTCCTTTCGGGTTCAGCAGCTAGTGAATTTTATTTGAAAATATGTGTTACTATTTATTTTAGATAGATAATGAGTGACTTTGTAAACAATTATTGCCGCAGTAATCAACGTCGAAGTAAGTGTTATCAACCGAGCCGAAGGCCGAGGCTGATAACGGAGACCTTGATTATTTAGGATATCACAAAAACCGAATCTAATAATTGTTTAATAATACATTGTTTTAAAGAGAATAACGACAAACACACCTTTGCACTTAACCTGAATTGATATTGCTATTGGAAATCATGCATTTGGCGTAACCTACAGATTAGTCAGTTATCTGTAGGTTGCGCTGAAAAAACCTGGCTTGTAAGCTAACGAGCCAACTAGGAGCAGGTGGCGTTGAATTAGTTCGTTATAAACCCGTGAAAGGATGATGATGAAGTTGTGAACTGCGGAGTGAAGAATTAAATGGGGATGATCATCGCAGTTATATACGCAATTTTGCAGTTGCGTAAAAAAGCTTGAAAAAAATTCAGGCTTGTACGGGTTCGAACCCTTGAGCTCTACGATACTGGTGCAGCGCTTTACCAATTAAGCTAACAAGCCAACTGGGAGCAGGTCGTTGAATTGGTTCGTTATAAACCCGTGAAGGATGATGATGAAGTTCTGAATATATGAAAATCATATATGTGATTTGCGGAGTGAAGAATTAAATGAGGATGATCATCACATTATATAATCAACTTTTGCTGTTGCGAAAAGAAAGGCCGAAAAAAATCCCGTACAAGCCTGAATTTTTTCAGCCTTTCTTTTCGCAACAGCAAAAGTTGAGTATATAACTGCGATGATCATCCCTCATTTAATTCTTCACTCCGCCGTCCACATATATGATTTTCATATATTCAAAACTTCAATAAAGGTTATTTGCGTTTATGGTCATCCAAAACCACTAGGCTCTAACGGTGCATGTCATGAGTAATAGACTTTGTCTTGTTCTGAGGATATTCCGATTTTGGTCGAATTTTACGTTGTAAAACAGTAATTGTATTTTGTAGCGCATCATTTACATCACGATTCCATTTTTCCTAAGCACTCGCACGACAATCTCGCTTATCAGTAACTCCGTATTGGAAAGTAAATTTTGAATGGTTGCCTAAAAATCGGCGGCATTGGGACAGAGTTATACGCTTGGGTTATGTGCTTCTGGTTTGATGTAACATATCCTACTCGTGATACTAGCTTGTGTGCACTTAACGTCTTTATGAAACTGGCGGACTGCGCGCCTCATACAGTTCCATGTGACATATCCTACTCGTGATACTAGCTTGCACTTAACGTCTTCTTCGAGGTGACGAGCGGCACACATCATACAGTTCCATGTAACATATCCTAGTACTCGTGATACTATCTTGCGCGCGCTTAACGTCTTTATTGAACTGGCGGACTGCACGCCTCATACAGTTCAGGCAGGTAAACATATGCTACTCGTGGTACTAGCTTGCACTTGAACTCTTTTTCGAACTGGCGGGCGGTGTGTCCCATACAGTTCCATGAAACATATCCCGGCTTCTTGTGATATTTAGTTTGGCTGGGTTAAAGATCGGTGTTTGAATCAGTTCAGTCGGCCTTAACTTATTTAGGCCGGACTACTACGGTTTTTGCGTTTTTTTTCCCCGATCCGCGAAAAAAAGTTCCAGCAAAAAAAAATAAAATAAAATAATAATAATAATAATAATAATAAAATACCACTCCTAGTAGTAGTAGTAGTAGTAGTAGTAGTAGTAGTAGTAGTAGTAGTAGTAGTAGTAGTAGTAGTAGTAGTAGTAGTAGTAGTAGTAGTAGTAGTACTACTACTACTACTACTACTACTACTACTACCACTGAAAATGGTCACTGCTTTTTGAGGTGCGAGAAGTTTAGTCGTTTACATGGAAGGATTGAATTATACTGGTAAAAAGCTTATCAAAACGTAAATATACATGGATGAAGACAAAGATGACCCCTCTTTCGAGCCTGGAGATAATCCTGGACAAAAGAAAAAGGTAACATTCAAGCCAGCCTCAATGGTGGACATGAAACCATGTGATGATCTTCACCGATATCTGGTCGACAAATTTCACTCATCGACTAAGTCCAAATCAGTTTTATTCGAAGCAATCGATTTTCAGCCTACAAAACTGCTGCTAAGGTTGTCTCCTTTGTAACATCTGAAGACCGGCTACTTTTATGGATCAAAACCTTCGCTGTGCGATACTTTGATCACCTGAACGTGATGGGATATCGAGTAACATGGCAAGAACAAGAGTCACATAGCTGCCCAACCAAAAGCGATAAAATCATCATGCACATTCACGAGGAAGAAAATAACATTGAAGATCAAATGGTCACCATAACTATCTTTATTTCCACTGGCAGAATCATGGTTCAAGGCAAAAAATTCGCCGAGTGGAGTCAACAGGAATTTCCTGCACTGCTATCTATTGTTAACAGTCTCGGGTCGTCAGGAAACCTTAGTGCTGTTAGCGCAAAGGACCAATCTGCATTCCATATAGAACTCCAAAAGTTTTTCACAAAGTACAAAGGATGTGAGATTGCGGACACAAGGGCTTCGAACTAAACGACACTACCGTGGAAAATGCCGAAAATGTTGTCAGTGACATAACAGAAACAGAAACACCCAGTGCAGACAAAGGAAATACAAGAATAACGCAATTGTCAACACCCATTGAACTCTCCCTTACACCGAGTAGGCTAAACACCTTAACTACTCTTCGAAATACCGTCGGAAATTTAGAAGCCGATTTTACTGAGTTTAAAGTAACAAACGCTGGTAACCTCGAGCACCTAAAATACAAAGCTGCCCAACTGGATCACAATTTCAAAGTACAAACAACAACCCTAGGGGGGCTTGCTGATGATCTGGAAAACAATACTAAACTTCTAAATCACGATTTACAAAAACACGCTGACTTAATTTCCAAATTACAGAATGAAAATCAAGCACTTCAAAAGAAAAATGCGAAAATATCGGAGGATAACGCAACCATGAGAAGAACACAGAACCAGCTTGAAGCGGAAATCACCTTTCTTAAGGACCAAATTAAAGCCCTCTGGGAAACAATACAACTGCCGCCGGAAACAACTAAGACGTCGAGCCAGACCTCTGGTGAAGAAATGGACGACAAATTCAATGATAGCACAAAGAATAAAATGATCGTTAATTAACTAATTCTCAAACGCTTATATAAACATTCTTAACTCATCTTTTGTTGGATCAAACGACAACTCAGTATTCTTGTTGAGTTTATAACCATATTGTCCCTTCGTTTCATTTAATTTAATGAGATTTTATTGTCACTATCGGTCAGCTTTCTCCGTTAATAAACGGTTCCAAATTCAATGAAACAAAGAATAAAGCTTTCCTACATCAAACGACAACCAATGGTCAAAGATGAGATACTAGAAAACCAAACTCTTTCTCTCCCCTTCAAGATCTACCAGAAAACCCGCCAAGAAAAGAACCACAAAACAAACCCGTAGACACTAATTCCCAGCACCCTCCTAAGTCTCCTGCTACCAACAACACCAATAATTCTAATGAAGTGATCTTTCTATGTGATTCAAATGGAAAGTTTTTAGACATGGAAAAATGTTTTCTTCAGACCAGGAAGTGAAGTATGTTAGAACTCCACTGATTGAACACGCTAGATCGTACTTACAAAGTCAAATCCACACTGCTCCCCGACTACTCATATTACACACAGGAACAAACGATCTAGAAAGAACCAGTTCTCCTGAAGATCTTATTTCTAACATCTTAATATTGATTACAGAAGCCTCAACGAAATTTCCTTCAAGCAAAATATTCTACTCAACACTTCTTCCCCGCAGCGACATCCCGACACCAATAATAACTTCAATAAACAATCAGTTGATCAGTAGCTGCTCAAGATTACCCAATGTGCAGTTAGTCAAACATGACAACCTCTTTGAGAATCAATCAAATATTCTTTACGATCAGAAACATATTCTTAAACGGTACGTAAAATTTTTCGCCAAAAACCTTAAGGACGCAATTCGCGGTCGTGCCAGACCAAAACCTACAGTTCCTTCTAATACAATGCCAGCCCAAAGACAAAGATCCTCACAAACTCAACCGACTTCTTCCCAAGGTCCCAAGCCACTATTACATCACACATCATACAGCAATGCCGTAAAGAACACACCACCTCAAGTGCCTAGTTGGCCTCACCTTCTTCAAACTCAACCTCCGCCGTTACCATTTGTCACACCACAACTTCCACAACGAATACCTCCAACACCATTGCAAAATTCACTACATCATGAACCAAATGC